AGCCTACTAAGTCTTTTTTGTCACTGACATATAAACAAGAAAGTCAAACCCACATGCCATACCCCTGCTATCTCATTGTGTCTTTCAAAAAGTCAATAATTCTCCCCAACAGTTGCTATTGAATTGCTTATGACCAATAGGAAAAAAGATTCTGCTTTAAAAGATTTGTTATGAGGCTAGTTTATTTAAGTGCCAGGTTTGGAAATATTTAGCCCCATATTCCTTGTTTCCTTTTGTGGTGTTCAGCTTGACCAGCTAACAGAATTTTAACCTATTTATAATTTAGTTAGAATGGTAGTTAAATTATAGCAGTTTTAGGACATTCTGCTTTTTGAGCATACTAATATTTTGTGTTCACAACAGCACATTTGAAATAAGAAGTAATAAAATATTGGACCATCAACATCATTCCAAAATAGTAGACCTACAGTGCTTTGTCATCAACAGCACAGTCCTAAACTCCAAAATTAAGAATCAAATTTGTTTTTTATGTAAATATTTTAATTATTGTTATAAAAGTAATTAAAATACAGAAATCAGAATCACATTAGGTTACATTACATTAAATAAGGAAATTTTGCATGATACTCAATTTTCTAGCATATGTGATTGTTTACATACAGTTGTACAGCCATGCTAAACAGCATTTGGTGTACTCTGAAGTTTAAGTGCAGCTGTAAAGCAGTAAAACTAAATGAACCCACATATGAAAGGTCAGTTAGTTTTGGCTGTAATAATAATAAACAGTGTATGTAACTTTCTGTTACAATATGCAGTCGTTCTAGATTTATTTCATATTTTTCAACTTTTCATTTTATCCTACATTGCTAATTTCACTACAGTTAGTGTTAGGCTATAGAAAATAAGATATAAAGCTTTATTTAAAAACTTTTGATATTCATCGAGGAAGTTCTGGAAGCTATGCAAATGAAATATGAAAATTGTAAGATGAAAAAAAGGTTTTTTTTTTCTCAACTTGAGAATCACCTTAAACCCAGACTAGTCTGAATCAGATTGACTCAGGACATTTACACACAAGTCTTTAGTAAAAATTTTAATTATTTGTGTGCAACATGCTTGTAATATTTACTAAATGCTTACCAAATTTCATGAAGGTACAATTAGTACTTTTGGAATTATAGTTGATATTAATACAAAGAGATTCATAGAAACTGGGTTGGTGCAAAACACCAACATGATTCACATAGTTATATCCTATCTTCACATCTCTTTTTCTACAGTAATAAACATCATAAGATGAATATATATATCTGGTTCATGATAAATTGTCAACCATCTGAAAATGCAATTCTGAGGAAGCATATTTGGATAGTAACATTGTTATTCGATATAAAACCAAAAAATGTAATACTTCAAAGAAATAGGCCTTAAACATTCCCAATGGAAGTGGAAATACTCAAACAGCAGAATGTATAGCACAGCATGATAAACCACATTTGATGCACAAAGTGGAGGCTATAATACAGAAGGAGATTCCTCTCAAATAAAAAAAAGCCACTGTGGTGAAACTGAGTATATATCTGGCTCTGTTAACAAGATAATAAACAAGGATCTGCAACTGACAAAGGATCACAAGTAGAAATACTCAAACAGTGAGACTGTTAAACAATGCACAACTAAAAGATACAAAATTCTGAAGAAGAGAGCCTTCAGTATTCTCCATGGAAGAATAACACACAGCAGTGTTTAAGAAAACAAAGGGCTCTGAAATCACACTCCAACACAATCAAAAACAATGTTCTCATATACAAAGTTAAAGCTAATGTATGGTTACAAATAAAAACCTGTGAACCAATGAAGCTGAGCATATCTTTTGTCATTGTTAAAAAGCTGAAGTCGACAGAGGCTCACCTCACAAATCAACAGCTCACAAGCTTTGAGACTTGGATAGTTAGAATAATTGGAAATATAAAATTTGATTAGTTATTTTCATGAGTTGTGATGCTAATCAACCTTGTATTAATTGATAATAGTAATAAGAAATCATAAAGCCAATATTTTGATTACTTGGATACTTGGAATAATAGAAAAGTGTAATAATTGGAAAAACTAATTTCAATTAGTTGATCATTTTCATAACATTAATCAATGTAATCATAATTTTGATTAATTATATATTTTGTGTATGACTAATCGAGATAATCGAGGCTCATAGGTAATAGTTTATACAGATTAAATGAGTTAATCACCCAGCTCTACCAAACACATCTTGAAGCCAATAGCTGCTTTCATGAGAAAGATAGCTCGAGAAACTATAATTAAAGAAATCTCGTTCAATCATATAAATGTCAATTCCCTCAGATGCAACTCCAATAGAAATTTGTTTCTTTATCCTGCTTAAGTATGGTCCTGAAAGCCAATGTCCAAATAAAGGTACAATAGATTTTAGAAGACACATGATCTATTACTGATACTGCTCTCCTTGAATAAGCTTGTTACGATAGTAATTGCTGTGTCAGGCACAATACACAGCAATACAAAAAACAAGGAGATATTACGTTGAAAATCTATACTGCTGCTTGATTTGGCTCTACTGAAATTTCAAAGCTTTTATGTGAGGAAATGACTGACTTTTGGAAGAGGCAAAAGTTACCATTAGGTAACTAGTGCAGCTTTTGAAATTAAATATTATTAATATTTCCCGAAATACTATTTTCTTTTTACTGATTTTGATAAATATTATACAGATACATGTTCTGACATGCTACTTTACATCATAACCATAATTATTAATTTAAAAACAACTGCCACGATTATATTGACAAAATCAAATATTACTACAAAAATTATTTTTCTCCAAACTGGTATAACAGGCATCTGAAAAGTATGCCTATTTGAAACCGTTCAGAGAACCAGGCAATCTTCACAAAAACTGTTGAATGTCACAGAAAAGAATGTTTAGAAAAGTGAAAAAAAAATATATATATATATATTTTGTATTGTAAACTGAATATCTTTTTAAAATTTGTTTCTTAGGCTGTTAATTCCCTTGAAGATTGTATTGTATCTTAAACATAAAGCAGACAACAAAAAACAAATGGGAAAAGCAATAGGACATATATATATACAAAGGTAGATTAAAGGAATGGATTATTGGTGAAACTATACTCACATTTTTGTGGTTCACTAGCTTCATCAGTTTAAATTCTCTATAAGCCCTTTTGGCATGAGTTACATTCTGGAAAGGTCTGCTGAGTTTCTTAATAGCTACATGTTGATCTGTTACTTTGTCAAGAGCAGAACTGCAGAAAAAATAACAGCCTACTATAAAATTTGATAGCTAATCTATTCTTTTTTTCTAAGGCATGTAAGGTGTCCATACAAATTACTTAGAGACTTAGTCTCTCTGGACTAAATCACATAGTAAAGACAAATCTGTTTCGGCAAAATACAATCTATGTATCTTTAAGATCACACTCGTGAAATGGCAAATTTTTTTGTCATTATACTAGGAATTAAAAAAAAGTTTGCCAAAGTTAGATTTTCATTTGCTTTAGGGAATCACAACTTAAAAAAAAAGACATTTTCTTACACCTAAGTAAAAAGATGCAGCTGTTAACTACAAGCTGTGTAATTTCACACTGAAATTTACATTTAAATCTAACTATCAACACAAAATGACCAAATAACAAATCAGCAATGTTCATTACACAACATTAACTAAAATTTATAAGCTCTTTACAGGAAACTGAGATTAGTTATTTAACAACAAATATAATTAATACTACTCATTACTATTTTGCCAAAGACAAGAATCATCAGACTGTCTAATCTCAATTCTTATTTTTTCTTGCAAATTCTAACTTTACAGGATAGTATACCACCCTTAAATTTTTCCTAGTTAAGCCATTGTTAATTATCATTGTCATATAATTTTCAAGTGAGAAAGCCCAAACATAAGTACTTTAAATTCTGACTTACCAGACAATTCCTTGAGCACCTGAACCAATAGGCCGAAGATTCTGGTAACGCTTAAGAATTGTAAACTGGGCATCGCCTACCTCAACAGTGTAGAACATACTAGAATTTTTACTGGTCATGTCGCTGGATTGGTTGGATATATTAGACTCTCCAGAACACAATCGCATTAGGGGTTTCAGATCCGCTTTGCGGAAACAGTTCGGATAAATACTGAATATGTGAGATGTCAAAATTTTATACCTCCTCAAAGAGCATCTCTACACAGACCTACAAAAGAAGAACAATACATATTTAACCTACATATAATCTATTCCAACAAACATTTAACAGTTTGCAAAAACAGAATCACTCTTATATTTAACAGTGTTGATAATATAATATGCATTTATTATTAGGTTTGTAAACTAGTGTTGATATTTTACTGTACTGTTGTGCAAGAATGTGTGTCATATTGCTTATTCTTAGTTTTTAAAATATGTTGGTTTGTTATAATATATAGACATATATAAGAGGTAATTGCTCTTTATGTTATAGATTTCACCAACAGATGTCATTACTGCAAAGTTTTTGATTGGCCTAGTGTGTTTATTAAGCTTTGAAATTTCAGGAATCGTAAGGATAATCTAACAGAAGGCAAAAGATATACAATCAGAGTTATCTGTTTGAGAGAGTTGAACTATATCTAAATATATAGTTCTTTGTATACAAGATTGTATGAAACTTGAGTAATATAACATTGACTGTATGCTTACTAGGAGCTAAGAATTATTTACTATTATTTGTACTAAAATACATCTTAGTGACTGAGCTTGATAAAATTATAGTGGAATTCTATGGTACTGATGTAGTAATTTATGATTTTTTAGTTATTCAAATGTATATGTAAAACCTAAAAAAAAATTTTTTTTCACATCCTCCACATGCAAAATTTTAAAGACTTAGCAATTTACATCAAGCAGCAGCCGAGTACAAAGGTCGTAACTAG